TAGCTCCAAATGTCATCTCAGGAAATAAAGAAAACTATGTGTCACCAACAAGCTCTTCTTGAATGTGTCCTTCTTATCAGAAGCCAAACCTTTTCCAAAAGCCCCAGGAAGAATTTCTCTTGTATGCTATTGGCCAAAATAGAGTCATATGACTATTTCATGTAGTCTGTGAAAGTAGCAACCTTGAAGAAGAAATGCAATCACCACAATTGGCTAAGGATATTATTAAGCAAACAAGAGTTAGAGTTCTATGGGAAAGGACTTAGCTTGCTAGTTTGCATTTACGTAATTGTTCATATCTATATCTATGTCTATGTCTATGTCTATGTCTATATCTATATCTATATCTATATCTATATCTATATCTATATCTATATCTAATCTCTCTATAAATCTATATCTGTCATTAATGGACTTAATGTACATGAAAATCACTTTGGAGCTTTTGTAGAAATACAGATATTAGGCTCTGAATCTGCTGGGTGAGGTTCGTATGTCTGTGTTTTTTTAAATTCCTTCCTTTTACTAAACATTTTATTTTAAGGTTTACCAGTACTATTATAATTTTTATGTATACATTTATTGCATAGTAATATTTTTAATAAAAGCTGGTTTCCAGCTTTTATTATAAATCTGACATAAACCTTTAAATGAGTTTAAGCTTTTTACATAATTAGTAATATTTACTTTAGGAAATCTCAAAAATGAGACTTGGGCCTGAATATTTTAAAGACTCTTTATATGATTTCTATAAGCTGCTGTAAGAGCTATAAGTTTTATTTGTTAATAAAAAGGGACATTTTCAAAAGGCAAAGGCAAGTGCAATAAAAATGGGGTATAAATGTAAAAAAAATTAAAGCTCAACCTACACTGTTTTTATTTTAATTACTCACATGGCTCTACCTCAAAGTGATGCTGTGATTAATGAACCATAGTCTAACAACCATACAGTAATTCCAAAATAACTCAAGTTCTTTATATTTCATGAGTCCCGGAAGAGAATACGCCACCCACAGCAACATGTCTTACTGTTCCCTCTCCTTTCCCCATTCTCTTTATTTTGTACACTGTGGTACTTCTTTTATCCAACTCTGGGGAAATCTTTTCTTCATCCTTGTGTTCCCTCTCCCTTGCCATTGCCTTCTGATTGTACATCACAAAAGAAAGAACAAGTCTAATATGCAAATAGACAGAACAGCGGAACAACCTGAACAACCAAACAACCAGTTGTATGACGTGTGCTGACCACCAGGGGGCATGTTTGGAACATGGCGGGCATTGGCCATGGTGTGATGGTAGAGCAGGTGAGTGGGAGCGCCAGACCAAGGAAGGGTGCTGGTCACTGTCATTGGGGCGAGCGTCTGGTGGTTACTGAAAATTCTATGTTCCTGCATGCCACGGTCCTGCCCGGCACTCCCACCTGCCACTGGCGCTGGAGGTACCGCTCACACCCACTGCCAGTGCCAGCCCTGCTCGCACCCACAGCTGGCACGAGAGCTGCCGCTAGCACCTGCTGCCAGTGCCTGGTACCAGTCCCGACCACTCGGTGCCGTCAGCGTGTGCGAACAGCAGCTGATGGCCCCAATCACCCCTCAGGGCTTCTCCACCTCCCCCTGCCCCTTAGGGGAGATTGGGGCAGCAGAGGATGGGCTGAGACCAGCCCATGTGCCTACCATAGCCTCATAGCCTACACTTCCTTTCAAGGTGCATGAATTTGTACACTGGGCCTCTAGTATTTTAAAAAAAATAATAAACATTCCTGCTATTTAGTACTGAGTTGTATTAATAGTTTATATAATGTTAGGATTTTTCATGTTACTCTTATTTTATGCATTATAGCACTAAAGCTCTAGTATCAGTATAATTAGGAGTTCTGGACTCATATCCTAGTCCTGATTTTAATGAGTTTGATAGCTATGTGATTTTACCTGTCTGGGCCAAGTCTCCTTACTATAAATAAAGTAATTAGACTATGCTATTGTAAGGTCTCTTCCTACTCTGAAATTTTATTATTCTTAATATTCTCAAAAGACCTAATGGTTGAGAAGACTGACCTGGGGGCTGAGGCCCAGTTATCACAAGTTCTTTAGAAGGAAATCCTATGAACACAGGAGGCAGTGAACAAGAAATTAAAAAGTCCCCTTCCTGACAATGTTCCCCTCCAAAATGTGCACTTTTTTGGGGGGAAAGTTATTCCTTATTTTCTTCTACAAATTCATGACTAGTTCAAAGCTCTTATCTGGAAGTCATTGTCTTATTACCCTCCTTTGAGGTGGCAAATGCCATATTGGGGGAGGGAAGATTTACTTCCTCCCACAATCTACTGTATAGTTTTCACACAATGTTGAAATTCAACAATGTGGAAAAGATACAGAATCTGGTAGACTTTACGTACCAGGAAAAAAATTGAAGCGGCTTGAATAAATGGTGTCTTTTTACAAAAGTGGAACATTGAACATCCTCATATTACATTAATAATTTTATGTATGGATCTGTAAATGGTGCTGAGTAGGGGCTGTGCTAGAGAGGCATATGAAGGAGGTACTGTGGAGAGTAGTGATATTACAAGAATGTGACCCTCAAGATATATAGCCCCCCTTTTTGGAAGAGAAACCTCTGGGTCATGGGGTAGGAATAGAAAAAAAGTTAGTTGTTATGAAAGCTGTTGTATGTTTGTTTTTTTTTGTGCTTGCCCTGGGCAGTGCTATCCTCTCTTTAGAGTAATCTTGAAGCTAGGAAGCAGCACAGAGGATAAGGACCCAATTAGATGTTCAAGGAACAGAGAGAATAAAGAGCAGAGGTAACAGCACAAATAGAACAAACAAGATTTCAATGATAAGCCACAGAAGAATGGGGAAATAAACAGTATATGGGGTGGGGCCCACATATTTTTCAATCAACTGTGTAAACGCTTTTCTTGGAGTGTAGGCAAGATGTTATTTAGTCAGTCACCTTTTAACTTGAATCTGAACTTTCTCACTTTTCTACTCATACCTTTTCTTCTCACTTACTTACTTACTAAAAAATCCACATTTTTACTTCATCAGCAATGTGCTTTTTATGATTATAGGCTCTTAAAGTATTTACAGTCACATATTCAACCAACTAAAACAAGGTGATTATGTACAGATCATGTGTGTGGTACTGTAGGGGAAGGAATCTATACTGATAATAGAGGAATATGCAAATTGTCCATTACACCATCACAGAACGACTGGATCAGCAGGCTGTATCCCTGCCCCCTGTGCCAGCCCAGGTAGGAGCCCAAATCCTAACCTACCTAAAACATGGCTGTGTGCCATCATATCAGTAAGAAAGGGACATCCCACACTTGCCTGGGCATCTAAGTCACTGGCCTAGAGAATCAGGGTTTCTCCCTCCGGACCTGACCTCTCTGGCCTGACCCTGCCCCCAGCAGATTTGCATATCCCAAACCCTCTGGTGCTTCCAGGCACTGAGCATTCCCACATCTTCCCTGCCTCCCAGCTGCTGACCCCCACTATATCCTACCCCAGAAGCACTCTGTCCTCCCCAACTTTTGGTTTTTATAGACTAAATGCATGGTGGGTGTAGTTGCTTCTCCACAGATTTTATTTGATAAGAACCCAGCGAAGTCGCTTAGCAACTGAGCTGCTCAGACTTCATCAGGGACAATGAATGACACACCTTACTTGGCTTTGATAGCAAATCAATCTTACTCTCTTATTTTTTAAATAGATTTTTATTGATTTTAGAGAGGAAGGAAGAAGGAGAGAGATAGAAACATCAATGATGAGAGAGAATCATTGATCAGCTGCCTCATGCACATGCCCTATTGGGGATCGAGCCCACAACCCAGGCATGTGCCCTTGACCAGAATTGAACCTGGGACCCTTCAGTCTTCAGGCTGAATCTCTATCCACTGAGCCAAACCAGCTAGGGCAAGCAATCCTATTCTTAAAGACTTGATTTTTGTCATAAACAAGTGGATTTGAATCATATCAAACCAATATACATTTTTTAATGAAATGTCTCTTCATTTCTACTAATGCAATGCTACCTTAAAGCTTATGTTGTATAATCTATACCAGGAGTCCTCAAACTATGGCCCGTGGGCCACATGCAAATACAAATATTGTATTTGTTCCCGTTTTGTTTTTTTACTTCAAAATAAGATATGTGCAGTGTGCATCGGAATTTGTTCATAGTTTTTTTTTAAACTATAGTCCAGCCCTCTAACGGTCTGAGGGACAGAGAACTGGCCCCCTGTTTAAAAAGTTTGAGGACCCCTGATTTATACTAATAAAAAGGGCAATATGCTAATTAGACCAGACATCTTCCGGAAATCCATCCGGACAAAGCCACGGTGGCGGGGCCCTAGGCAGAGGCGGTTAGGGGCGACCAGGCTGGCAGGGGAGGGCAGTTAGGGGTGACCAGGCTGGCAGGGGAGGGCAGTTAGGAGAGATCAGGCTGGCAGGCAGAGGTGGCTAGGGGTGATCAGGCCAGCAGGCAGAGGTGGTTAGGGGCGATCAGGCAGGTGGGCAGGTGAGCAGTTAGGACCCAGTGGTCCAGAATTGCGAGAGGTATGTCCGATTGCTGGTTTAGGCCTGATCCCTGTGAATGATTTAGGTATCCATTAGGGTTTCTTTCAAATCTCAGACTATTTCTATGAAGTCAAAAGAAAAGAGGTTTTTCTTGTGTTCACTTAGGCTAAAGGGATTCCCAGGTCTATTCTCTGGGCTGTTCTGTTCTTTCACTTATTAAGCAGCTACTGGTGGGATACCATTTATGCACTCATACTTTGCCAGTTGAGATGGGGATACAAAGAATTACTACTGGCTTAATACCTGACATTCATGAGCTTGAAATTTAATGGAGACTAAACACACACACACACCTCACCACCACCACCACCACTACCACCACCACCACCTTTAAATATATTTTTATTGATTTCAGGGAGGAAGAGAGAGAGGAGAGAGATAGCAACATCAATGATGAGAGAGAATCATTGATTGGTTGCCTCCTGTATGTCCCTTGCTGGGGATCGAGCCCACAACCCAGGCATGTGCCCTTGACTGGAATCAAATTCGGGACCCTTCAGTCCACAGGCCAATGCTCTATCCACTGAACCAAACTGGCTAAGCCACACACCACCTTTAAATAGCTTTCACAACCTAGCAGAATATAAGCATACATCTACAAGGAATTCAGGGAATTGAATGATCAGTGGGCAAATTTTATGGAAGCACTGGCTTTGTCTGGATGGGGAGATGGCTTACTGAATTTACACACCTCTGCAGATTTTCTTGGTCTCATCTGGTTCTAGGACCTTTACCTCTTCCATCCATCTGTTTTGCCTGAGCTGCTGTGCCTGACAGAATTTGTGGTCTATGAGGTTCTATCACCCAACACTGGCCAGCTCCGTGCTTGGGAGACTACCACATTGATACCTGTAGGAATTATCACTATTAAGCATAAGTTTGAGCTTTCTAAGCAGCTTGCAAAAGGCCCAGAAGATGCAACCTAGAGGTGTGGGAGAGTTTACTTTGGCTAAAGAAAACCAGGAGCTAGAATTTGAACAGATAAGTATTCTTTTCCTTTCTTCTTCTAACAGGCTAATCTGAGACAGTTTCTATGACCAACCTATTTGGAGACATCCTAGGTAACTGAGTGAGTGACCTAATAAGTGACTGGCTGAGGTACTTCAAGCTTATGGTGAAGTAGAGGCCATTGTTGTTATGCTTATCTCACATAGCTTGCTATCTTTCCCTGCCTCACTTTCCTTTTCCTTCATTCTTGTCCTGAGAATACACCTCCCTGAATAAAGTAATACCCTGTAATCTTTGCCTCAATTTTTGTTTTCTAGAAGTCTTGGAGAAAGACAGAAGAGAAGACAGTCTTTGTAGAGTTAGAATATAAAAGGGAATGATCTGCATTGAGAACATTTATGTTGGAAATAGCCACAATCAAATTTTAGAGGGCCATGTTGATAGACATGTAGATTCTTTGAAAGTTTTTGAGCAGAGTGCCATAATGGAAACTGGGACTTAGGAAGGTGATTAGGTTGAAGTAGAAACCTGGAGTGTTTGGAGGTGGGGAGAACTGGAGGCAGGAAGACTAGTTTTGGTTCAAATGTGAGGATGAGTGTAGAACCAAGCTGTAGAAATTAAATAGTAGACAAGGACTTTTCTGATGGCTTTAGCCATTTTCATAAAAATAGGAAGCAATGTAATTCACTAGAAGTGAGTAAGAGGAAGATACAATTGGAGGGTTGAGGAGGGAGAGAATGTGAGTGTACCCTCTTGAGTCATGCTCCTGAATATCCATCATCCAGATTCAGTCATGTTGCTTCTTGTTGGTGGTGGCTATAGGCCTTTCTGTTCTCCAACAATATGCTCCTAGGGCACACACAGAATTTCTCATTTCATAATGAATTTGTGCACTATAAAAAATTGCCAAAAGACTAATCAGATATTTATACATTCTAGTCAATTTGGATTTTGTTAATTAAGTTTTGTAAATTAATTTAACAGATTAAAATTAATTTGTTAAAAGTTGTTCATTAAAACTACTACATAAAATGCCACTTACAATACTTTTTAATGAACAAACATATGAACTCTTGGTTGTACAGAAATTAGCTTTTCTTTTTTTAAAAAAATTAAATATTTATTGTTCAGATTATTACAGTTGTTCCTCTTTTTTCCCCCCATAACTCCACTCAACCCTGTTCCCACCCCACCCTCTGCCCTTACCCTCCCCCACTGTCCTCACGTACGATTTTTGTCCCGTCTCTTCCAGCACCCCCCACACCTCTTTCCCCCCAAGAATTGTCAGTCCACTCCCTTTCTATGCCCCTGATTCTATTATATTCACCAGTTTATTCTGTTCATCAGATTTTTTATTCACTTGATTTTTAGATTCATTTGTTGATAGATATGTATTTGTTGTTCATAATTTTTATCTTTACCTTTTCTTCTTCTTCCTCTTCTTAAAGGATACCTTTCAGCATTTCATATAATGCTGGTTTGGCGGTGATGAACTCCTTTAGCTTTTTCTTATCTGTGAAGCTCTTTATCTGACCTTCAATTCTGAATGAAAGCTTTGCTGGGTAAAGTAATCTTGATTGTAGGTTCTTGGTATTCATCACTTTGAATATTTCTTACCACTCCCTTCTGGGCTGCATAGTTTCTGTTGAGAAATCAGCTGACAGTTGTATGGGTACTACCTTGTAGGTAACTAACAGTTTTTCTCTTGCTGCTTTTAAGATTCTCTCTTTGTCTTTTGCTCTTGGCATTTTAATTATGATGTGTCTTGGTGTGGTCCTCTTTGGATTCCTTTTGTTTGGGGTTCTCTGTGCTTACTGAACTTATAAGTCTATTTCTTTCACTGGGTAGGAGAAGTTTTCTGTCATTATTTCTTCAAATAGGTTTTCAATATCTTGCTCTCTCTCTTCTTCTGGTACCCCCATAATTCGGATGTTGGTTTGCTTGAAGTTGTCCCAGAGGCTCCTTACACTATCTTCATATTTTTGGATTCTTTTTTCTTTTTGCTTTTCCGGTTGGGTGTTTTTTACTTCTTCGTATTTCAAATCTTTGACCTGATTCTTGCAATTCTCTAGTCTGCTGTTGGATCTCTGTATAATGTTCTTTATTTCAGTCAGTGCATGCTTAATTTCTATTTGGTCCTTTTTTATATCCTCAAGGGTATCACTAGATTTATTGAGGGTCTCACTAAATTTAGCCGCAGTTTCTATAAAATACTTGAAAAACCTTAAAAGTGTGGTATTGAACTCTATATCCAGTAGTTTGCTTTCCTCCATTTCTGTCATTTGTGACCTGTTTCTTTGCCTACACATTTTGGCTGCTTCCCTGTGTTGATAGGGTGGCTTTCTGTGCTAGGTGTTCTATAGGGCCCAGTAGCTCAGCCTCCCCAATTACCTGAGGTAGACACTCTTGGTGCACCCCTTTGTGGGCTGTGTGCACAGTCTTGTTGTAGTTAAGCGTTGATTGTAGTTGGTATCACTGGGAGGAATTGACCTCCAGGCCAATTGGCTGTGAGAATCAGCTGTACCTATTTTGGGAGAACTTCTGTGCTGGAGACACCCTTATGGGGCAAGACTTGCTTCAGTGGGGCTTTGGTGTTCACTGAGTCTGCCCTCTGAGTGTGTCCCTTATGGATCTGAGGAATTGTAATCTGGATGGTCCCACTCTGACCACTGGGTCCACTGGCATTTGGATCTCTAAGGAGGTGCTAATTTAGCCTCTGCCTGAGGCTACTCAGCAGGAGCTATGGAGAGATCTGCAGATTCCTCTTCTTTGTTTGGGGTTTGGAGGTGCCCAGATGAGGCCCAGCTATGAAGCAATGCAAGCTGCTATGGGGCCTTGGGCCTTCTTTTGGAAGTTCTGGGTCTCTGTGACCCAGCTGCAGTTCGTTAGGTAATTTTAGATTGCAAAGGGCCAGGTCATTCATATGAAAAAGCCTCTGTGCACAGCTTGTGTGGGGCGGGGTCTCAGGGAATCAACAGGGTGGAGCAAACAGCTATGGCTGTTCCTCAGTCCTGCCCTAAGGGGCCCCGGGTCTTAGTGTTTCACGGTAATCGCTGCAAGCATCTCTGAGAGAAAGCTGCCCTCGTGTTCCGCCCGTTGCCAGACAGTCCAGTTTCTCCTGGTATGAGTCTGGATCCCCAGAGACTAGCCCAGAACTGGAGTTCAGAGTGGGAGCCTGTGTCTCTCTCCCAATTGAAAAAGACAACTGCATCCTCACTTGCCAGCCTTTTCTGCATGGGCCTCCGTACCTCTGCACTTTACTTCCGCAGCTCCTCTGAGTCTCAGTGTGCTTTTCTCTTTCCTTCTAGTTGTAGAATTTCCACTCAGCCAGCCTTCCTGTGGTTCTGGATGATGTCCATTTTGTCTTTTAGTTGTATTTTTGAAGTGGTAGTGGGAGGCAACAATTTCAGGTGTTTACCTATGCCGCCATCTTGGTTTCCGCTGCCAGCAATTGCCTTTTCTTGTATAGCCAGAGTAACCACAGAATACTTATACAGTAATAACTTTTGTCTAGACTTGGTTGTTCATGAGAAGGAAGAAGTGGCCTTAGCAAGCCACATGTTAATCTGGATCCGAAATGCAGAAGTGTGTGCTCAGTTTATTTATGTTTTTAAACACTCAGCTACATTTAAAAATATTTTTGAGTAATTTAAATTTTGGCTTGTTTTTGAACACTTGGGTTTGTGTTGAAGTTAAATAGTAGACAAGGAATATTCGGATGGCTTTAGCCATCTTGGTAAAATAGGAAGCAAAGTTTGTGTTGAAGTTCCCTGTGCCCAAGATTGTTTTGCTAATGTTCCAAAACATTATGTGAGTGCAGTTTATGTGCTAAGGCAGGTAGGCAGAGGTAAACTATAAACCAGAGGATATAGTACATCTACACAGCTCTGAGTTGAGAAAATTTAAAGAACCCTTAAGTTAAAACAAATAAACACACCATGAATGTGAAAACAGTCCCCTAAGCCGTGGTCGGCAAACTGTGGCTCACAAGCCACATGCGGCTCTTTGGCCCCTTGAGTGTGGCTCTTCCTAGGCCTTAGGGGTACCATAATTAAGTTAATAACAATGTACCTATCTATATAGTTTAAGTTTAAAAAATGTGGCTCTCAAAAGAAATTTCAATCATTGCACTCTTGATATTTGGCTCTGTTGACTAATGAGTTTGCCGACCACTGCTAAGGAAACAGTGGATTTGTTGTGCTTGATGTGTGGTTTCCAGGGACTGAGAGTGTTGTTTGGATAGTGACTCAGGCAGGAATCTGCTTTTAACTCAGCTAGTTAGTCTTTCTGTGGTGACATAGGTGCCAAGGTGGGTCCTTTTGCAAGGGTGGTTTCCTAATAGCAATGCCCCATTTGTCTTTAGCATTGAAGTGGCGATCCTGATGCTTATGGTAGGATGTCATTTTCTTTGTGCCATCACATTTGCTTTTGCATGTCTTTGCTGGTTGGGGGCTGTGTTTATTGGTAAAGAATCAGCTGCTTGTCATCGGTAACTAGCTGGTTTCAGTTTCATCATAGGAAGATGAAAGCCAGGAACAGCATTTAGAAATCAATCAAAGGCTTATGGGAGTCTGACCAGTGTCACTGATGGAAGGGTGAACTGGATTGGGGGAGTTTTGGAAATAGGGGCAATTTCAAAAGTTGGGGGAGCATCATATTTTGAAACAATGAACGATGAGACAAAAACCATCTCAGCAAGGAGGTGTGAAGTACAAGGAACACATGGAGGAAAACTGAATGAGACAGACTTTTTAAAAATTCTTGTACATAAGAGAAAGTGTATGCTATATGTTGGCTCCTTTACCTTACCGAGGTGCCTATGCCAGCAGCTGTCAGCCTTGCTTAAAAATATCCCACAAGGTTATGAAGCCTCTGAGGCTCACCTTCCTTCAGGTCACTTCCAATCTTCCACACAGACTTACCTCAGTACCTCAGTCCCTGGACCTGCTTGGCAGTCTCAACTTGCCTCGGCCCAGTGGCATTTGGCTTTGGTCTACAGTGGTTATGACCTGGCAATCCCATGTGATGCTGCTTGTGATAACTGTCTCTCTGCATCATGGATCTCATTCATAAGCTGGAAGTTTTCTGTATCTGATCTGCCCATGGCACAACACACAGATGTCCAGTATTTATTGCTCCATCAGACTTGTTGAGAAAGATTTCTTCCTCTGAAACAACAACAACAACTCTTTAAGGACAAAATAAAACAACATTTAACCAACCCATCAATAAATCACCCACTCAAACCCCCAAAGATCCTTACTTATAGAGAGTGGCTGAAGGCCTCCCAAGGAAGGTTGCCTGCATTACCAAGGCAGATACCAAGGGTAGGCGTTTCCCAGGCTATAGCCACTGATTCCGACTTCAGCTACAGGTAAAAAGTGCAGCCGAGCCAGCAGGCTGCTTCAAAATGCTCAGCTGGCCTCTGAGCCCTGCTAGTGCCTACTTGTTAAGTGACCTGATTATGTCTCTAAGCTTACAGAACTGACAGAAGGAAAGTGCCTGAAAGTTGCCCTGCTAAGTATTAGTATTTGCCTTGGGTTCAGGATTTACCATGGTGTGTGTGTGTGTGTGTTTTAATATAGAAGAATGAGGAAAGAATGAGGTTTTCACTGACAGATAATCAGTGGTCTTGCCAAATCTAGTGGTGTTTGTTTAATTGTCTCTAAATTCCTCCATAGGAATCGGTGCCACCATCTTATACATCACTCCTACCTTTCATCTCTTGCCTAGTGGTGGTGGCATTTCTTAAACCTGGCTTTAAAGACTGTTATTTGCTTTCTATACTTTCTTTCTTCACTGGATAATAGGTTTATTTTATGATTCCAATTCTCATCTCTGTGTAGGTAACACCTGCCTCCACTTATCCAGCTCCAGATTGTCACCTGAGTTTTGATACTTATTTGTAGCTGCCAACTTAGATGCCTTCATCATGATGAAGTCATTTAGAAATCATGATGTCCCAGGTCTAACTTATCTTCCTTCAAAATTTCTCCAATTTACTCCCAGTTTTATATTTCTAATACTGGAGTAGTGTCTTCATCTTTTAGTCCTATTCACTACCTTGTCCTATTACATTTTATTTTAAATGGTTCTTTACTCTGTTTCCTTTTCTTTTCATTTTCACTGCCACCCTCTAAGTCTTATGTTCTAAAATCATTAGCCTCTTGTCTTTACACTGTTGGATATATCCTCTCCAAATGCCATTATTACTATGAAACTCTTTTTTTCCATATCCTACAAGGCAAAGCAAAATCTCCTAGCTTGGTCTGCTTCTGACCCCATCTCCTGCCACATCCACTTTGCTTTTATTTAGTTAGCAGGCAGCCTCAGGGAATCCAGTTGCCTACTGCCTCTTGAGTCCCCTTGAGATTACCACAGTAGCAACAACAAGAATCTTGGTAATTTTGATTTTCACACTTGGGTACCTCTTCTGGATCTAGGAACTTCCTTCTCAGCAGCACTAAACCTGTACTCACTCCATATTTCATTTAAACCCCAGGTGGGATGTCAGTCAGTATATGAGAAGGGGAAGGATTTGGCGATAGGGCATTTTTCCTAAGTAGAGTTTAAGAGGAAGGTTTAGAAGTACATATCCTCATTGTAAAAAACGAACTAATCTTGAGATTTAGGTAAGATTTGTACATCTTTGGATGCATTTTATTCTAGTAAAACTTTTCTGACGAGGATCTTGTGCATAATAAAATAATAGAAGACCAAATATATTAGCAAATATAAATTCATGCATAAAATATTGCTGGGAGTTGTATGTTTTCCACTGGAGAGTGGGATTAAAAATTATTAGCTGACCACAGAGATCTGGGAGTAGCATGTGCAAGAGAATTCTAGGGAACCACTTGCAAACGAGAGGAATGTAGTATCACTTTTTACTTTTCCCATGGCCATCACATAATGTGTGATGAGTAAGGGTTGACTTCCACACAGAGATGGAGCATTTCCCAAAGCCCATTAGGGAGATTAATCTTGCATTGATGTAAGATATGCTAGTGTTCTTTCTTCCTTTATTCTGTTATTAGAAAAGGGCTTTCCCTAGCCGGTTTGGCTCAGTGGGTAGAGCGTCGGCCAGTGAACTGAAGGGTTCTGGGTTCGATTCTGGTCAGGGGCACATGCCTGGGTTGTGGGTTCGGTCCCCAGTGGGGCACTTGTAGGAGGTAGCTGATCCACGATTCTCTCTCATCATGTATGTTTCTATCTCTCTCTCTTCCTTCCTCTCTGAAATCAATAATATATATATATATATATATATATATATATATATATATATATATATATATTTTAAAAAAAGAAAAGGGCTTATAATTTCTCTCTTCAGAAACCTATGATTGCTTTCCATGAACAACAACTCACTAGGTCAGATTTGACCTTGTGTTCTGAAAGGCTCTAGCTGTGGCAGTGGTAGAAAAATCCACCACCCAAGGGCATGTAAGGCCACACCAGATTTGACATGTAGAAGTCAGGAACAATCAAGGGCATGTAGATACTGGGACAAAGAGCTGATTTGGAAACATAATTTATATGTGAGTGTTCCTATCCTGGCACGCGGGCAAACTTCATTCTTTTATCTTTGAAATATACTAGTGCCAGGCTCTGTAGCTGGTTTCCTTCCAGATGAAACAAAACTGGGAGAACTTGGTCTGGTGACTTACTCATGGCCAAAGAGGTCAACAGGGTACTTTAGTGACAGTGGGTAATAACAAGAAGCAAGTGTCTCATACATTGGGCATCTTGCTTCCCAGCATGGGATCAGCAGCAACCATTGATTGAAACTTAGTCCCTTTCCAATCAAATACTGGCAATTTTACCTTGCTCACAGGGACAATTACTTTTCCCTACTATATTCTTTAGAGCAGTGGTCCTCAAACTTTTTAAACAGGGGGCCAGTTCACTGTCCCTCAGACCGTTGGAGGGCCGGACTATAGTTTAAAAAAAAACTATGAACAAATTCCTATGCACACTGCACATATCTTATTTTGAAGTAAAAAAACAAAACGGGAACAAATACAATATTTGTATTTGCATGTGGCCCGCGGGCCATAGTTTGAGGACCCCTGCTTTAGAGTGTTCAAACAGATGTAAAACTGCCGTTAGCAATCTGTGAATCATGTATCTCTTGACCCAACTGATCTTTGCTAGTGTTCAAAGGCTGTAGAAGTATTTTCATTTTTACTTCTCTGATGAGCTAGAAGCTATGGTGACTCTACAGCTAAACTGAAACAAACCGCCTTCATCCCAATTGTCATTTTATAGAAAATGCCTATTTATCTTTCCCATATTATTATAGTATGTAGCTGAATTATAGGCAAGATGGGGGCTATAGAATGCATACTTATTGACTGAGGAAGAAGTAAGCAGGTGGTTTTCTGTCATATTTTTATCCTTATGGTGAAGCTTGTGGAAGCTATGTTATCAAAATTGTTGCTTTGGAACTTATCCCAAGTGTCTGATATGAATCTGGGGTTGACACAGACACAGTATGAAGCAAAGAGGATAGTCATCTCATGTTATATTGTCACTCCCCCCAATCTCTCCTTCTTATTCCCATCAACAGAGAGATTTTTGAATCCAATAATAGGGAATCTTGGATTCTTGGTTTAACTGTACCCAATATATTTTCCATAGAGCAGGTTCACATCCCTGGACAGCTGTGTCAAATGAATTTCTTTGTGTTGTCAAGAATGGGAATGACTGACAAATCTCAGAGGAAAGGCAGGAGGGGGGAAGATTAACCAGGAATTTATATACATACTAGAGGTCTGGTGCACAAAAATTCGTGCACTGGGGGGGGGGGGGGGGGCGGGGGCATGTCTCTCAGCCTAGCCTGCACCCTCTCCAATCTGAGACCCCTCAGGGGATGTCCAACTGCCTGCTTAGGCCTGACTGTGGGATCGGGCCTAAACCAGCAGTCAAACGTCCCTCTCACAATCTGGGACTGCTGGCTCCTAACCGCTCGCCTGCCTGCCTACCTGATTGCCCCTAACTGCTTCTGCCTGCCAGCCTGATCATCCTCTAATCACTCCCCTGCCAGCCTGATTGACGCCTAACTGCTCCCCTGCCAGCCTGATTGCCCCCAACTGCCCTCCCCTGCTGGCCATCTTGTGGTGGCCATCTTGTTATGACATGGGGGCAGCCATCTTGTGACCATGTGGGGGCAGCTATCTTGGGGCAACATGTGGTGGCCATCTTGTGATCACCTGGGGGCGGCCATCTTGTATGAGGGCGTGGTGGTAAATTTGCATATTACCTCTTTACTATATAGGATATGCATAGCCCATGGACACAGACAATAGCGGGGTGAAAACCTGGGAGGAGTGGATGTGTGGTGGAGAGGGTCAATGGAAAAAAAAGGGGGACATCTGTAATATTTTCAGCAATAAAGATAAATTAAAAAGAGCAAAGAATGGGAGTGATACAGAAAAGACCATAGCTTGAACTGGAGAGCTTACTAGAACTGGGCCAATCCCTGAGGTAAGACAGAATATCAAGTCTTTAAGTCCCAGCTTTGGCTCTGCTGCTTTGCTAAGGTTAAGAAAATATATCAAGGTGTAAAAAGTACTGTTACCTCAGAAAGAATTGAAATGTACTTAGCTTGCCTCTTGCTGTTGCATTCCTCATTGGGCCATTTCCTCAAGGTGAGATGAGAGATGCTGGCTGGTGAAGAGTTTGTAGAGGTGAAAGGAGTAGGGCTGACCTGGGAGCTGTCTTCAAGAGGAATGAATACAACCTATTAGCTTTCCCAATTTATGGTTTTTCTGTAGACACCTCAACTATGAACAATAGTTTCAGTGAGGAAGACAGAATGAGTTCTGACAGGAAGGTTGGGAGCTGTGACAGGCAGCAGAAAAATGAAGCCAAACAGCATGGTGATGTGTCATCACTACTGGGTTTACCTTGATCCACATTTAGTTATCTATTTCTTTTCAAAATGCTAGGTACTTATTCATTTATGAAACAGCATGTATGTTCTGAGGTGCAGTATATGAAAATAAGTCTCATTACTTTCTTTTCACATCACGAATTCATTAATGCATCCATTCCATTCAAGATTCATTTATTGAGAGCTTACTAAGTGTTAGGCACAGTGGTGGGTACCATAGGTTATAAACCAATTATTTCCTAGGAATTTTATAGTAGTGAACAATTTGATTTTATTTAAAAATTTGTTTTGGTTTTTTCACTAATGTTAAAGTCTTCAAACCAGGAATCAAGGAATAAATAAAAAGAGGTGGAGATATTTGTGATAAATTTTATCACTTTTTAGATCTGCATTTCAAAAGACCTATAAAGGCATTGCCTTATTCACTAAAATGTTCCTGCTTATTGCAAGCCAATTATAAATAAGACTAGAGGCTTGGTGCACAAAAATTTGTGCACTCAAGAGGAAGGGGGGGGGGGGTCCCTCAGCCCAGCCTGTGCCCTCTTGCAGTCTGGGACACCTCAGGAGATAACGACCTGCTGGCTTAGGCCTGCTCCCGGGTGGCAGAGGGCAGGCCCAATCCCTAGGTGCAGCCTCTGGTCGGGCTCAGAGCAGGGCCAATTGGGGAGTTGGGGCACTGCCCCCTGTCATGCACAGAGCAGGGCGGATTGGGAGGTTGAGGTGCCACCCTCAGTCACGCTCAGGGTAGGGCCGATTGGGGGTTGGGGCACTGCCCCCTGTCACACTCAAGGCAGGGTCGATGGGGAGGTTGCGGCACCACCCCCTGTCACCCACAGAGCAGGGCCAATCCAGGGGTTGGGGCGCTTCCCCCTGTCACGCACAGAGCAGGGCCCATCAGGGGGTTGGGGAGCTCCCCCCTGTCACTCACAGAGTAGGGCCCATAGGGGAGTTGGGGCACCGCCCCCTATCACACACAGAGCATGGCTGATCACAGGGTTGGGGTGCTGCCCTCTATCACCCACAGAGCAGGGCCAATCAGGGTGTTGGGGCGCTGCCACTGTCACACTCAGGGCAGGGCCGATGGGGAGGTTATGGCTCTACCCCATCACACACAGAGCAGGGCCTGTGGGGGGGGAGGGGGTTGGAGCACCGCCCTCTATCACCCACAGAGCAGGGCCGATCAGGGGTTGGGGCACCGCCACTCTCACACTCAGGGCAGGGCTGTTGGGGAGGTTATGCTCTACCCTGTCACACACAGAGCCGCAGGGTGATCAGGGGGTTGGGGATCTCCCCCCTAACAGGCACAGAGCAGGACTGATCAGGAGGTTGGGGTGCCATTCCCCTGTCACAAACAGAGCAGGGCGGATAGGGAGGTTGTGGCCCCACCCCCTGTCACACACAGAGCTGCAGAGCCATCAGGGGGTTTGGGTGCTGCGCCCTGTCACACTGATCCCGGTGCTGGGAGGTATATTACCCTTTTACTATATAGAATAGAGGCCAGGTGCACAGGTAGGGGCTGGTTGGTTTGCCCTGAAGGGTGTCCTGTATCAGGGTGGGGTCCCCACTGGGGTGCCTGGCCAGTCTGGGTGAGGGGCTGAGGGCTGAAGCTCCCAACTGCTCCTTTTTTTCTTTTTTTTTATTCTGGGCCAGCTTTAGCTCTGACTCCAGCTCTGAGGCCTCTGCTGCAGAAAGCAGGTATCTGGTTTGTTTGTGTTCTATAATCGAAACAATGTTTAACTCCAGCTCTGAGATCCCGGCTCGCTGAAAGCAGGTTTCTGGGGTTTTGTTTAGCTTCTATATTTGTTACAATGTTTCAAACTGCAGGCTCAGAGGCCGGCAAGGCAGGCGGGGATCGTTGGTTTCCTCCATCACTGAAGCAAGCAAGCCTCAGGTTAGTTTCAAGCTGCCTGGCTGCCGGCCGCCATCTTGGCTGGCAGTTAATTTGCATATCGCCCTGATTAGCCAATGGGAAGGGTAGCGGTCGTATGCTAATTGCCATGTTTCTCTTTTATTAGATAGGATAGGATACTGACTGACTCTGTAGATGCCCTAATTGTTGCTCAGAAGTAAATGAAATAGATTTCTGAGGCCTTATCCTATCTAATAAAAGAGAAACATGGTAATTAGCCGTACATCCACTACCCTTCCCATTGGCTAATCAGGGCGATATGCAAATTAACTGCTAGCCAAGATGGCGGCCGGCAGCCAGGCTACTGACACGAACAGGAGGCTTGCTTGCTTCAGTGACTGAGGACTCCAACGTTCCCCGCCTGCCGCTGCTGGGCTCTGAGCTGCTAAGAAACATTGTTACAAATATAGAAGCTAAACAAAACCCCAGAAATCTGTTTTCAGTCAGCCAGGATCTCAGAGCTGGAGTCGCAACAAAGTTTCAAATACAGAAATTAAACAAAGCCAGAAACCTGCTTTTAGCAGCGAGGTCTCACAGCTAAAGCCGACTCTCAGCTCCAGTGACAGCCATAAATCCAAGAATTAAAAAAAAAAGGAAAAAAGGAGTGGTTGGGAGCTTCAGTCACCTGCCAGCCTGAAAACGGCCCTCAGCCCCTCACCCAGACTGGCCAGGCACCCCAGTGGGGACCCCCACCCTGAAGGGGGTGTGACCAGATGCAAACAGCCATCATTGCCTCATCCAGGCTGGCCAGGCACTCAAGTGGGACCCCCACCCTGATCCAGGACACCCTTCAGGGCAAACCAGCCGGCCCCCACCCATGCACCAGGCCTCTATCCTATATAGTAAAAGGGTAATATGCCTCCCAGCACTGGGATCAGTGGAGCCGTGAGGCCTCTTGGCCCCTGGAGCAGCGTGACAGGGGGCAGCGCCCAAACTCCCTGATGGCCCTGAGGCTCTGTGTGTGACAGGGGGTGGGGCCACAACCTCCCTATCCGCCCTGCTGTGTTTGTGACAGGGGAAGGTGCCCCAACCCCCTGATCAGCCCTGCTCTGTGCCTGATAGGGGGGAGCTCCCCAACCCCCTGATCAGCCCTGCTCTGTGTGTGACACGGTAGGGAGCCCCAACCCCCCTGATGAGCCCTGCTCTGTGCGTGACAGGGGGTGGCGCTGCAACCTCCCCATCGACCCTGCCTTGAGTGTGACAGGGGGCGGTGCCCCAACCCCCCAATCGGCCCTACCCTGAGCGTCACTGAGGGTGGCATCGCAACCTCCCAATCCGCCCTGCTCTGTGCATGACAGGGGGAGGCACCCCAACTCCCCAATCAGCCCTGCTCTGAGCCCGACCAGGGGCTGCACCTAGGGATTGGGCCTGCCCTCTTCCACCCGGGATCAGGCCTAAGCCAGCAGGTTGTTATCTCCCGAGGGGTCCCAGACTGCGAGATGACACAGGCCGGGCTGAGGGACCCCCCTCCCCCCGCCCCCGCTGAGTGCACAAATTTTTGTGCACTGGGCCTATAGTCTTTGTATATAGCCAGTGGCATTGACAGCAATTGGAACCTTATATTTCTCAGCTCATATTTTTATCCTTATGGTGAAGTTTTGGAAGTTATCAAAATTGTTGCCTATTATTTATTTCTGGGTAATGTTATAGTAATAGCTGTATAAACTCTGAGGAATGAATGTAGGAGCTGTGATAGAATAGGAAGCTCTGGATCAAAGAAGAAGACTTGAGATAAGACAGAAATAAAATCACTGACAAATACATAGAAGTACACATTACTGGGTGGGATGGTGAAGAAGGAGAAACAAAACTGTGATAATCTGTGACAGGAATCATGAATAAGTAACCCTTGTGCTGATTACAGTGAAAGCAATGTAGGTCATGAGGACCTCCAGTGGAGAGGAAGAATGGCAAGCAAGGGTTTGTAGATGACCTGTGTCCTTCCAGTACCTGGGGAGAAAGAAGATAAAAACTTGATCAATGAAAGCCAAGGTCATTGTTAGTAGAGGGCAAAGTGGTATAGCTGTGGAGCTCATAAGATTATTTTTGGTCACTTCCAAGGCTTAGTTATGATGTACAAGAGGATGTCCTATGAAAAGATTGGTTAACACAAATGTGGGAGGGGATTGAAGATATAATTTGTAGTGATGTCCCAGGAAAGCTGGGAGGTTAAAAACAGGAGCACCCAGATCTTGTGTGTCTGCTAGGGAAAGGAAGAATGAATCTCTAGATGTAGATACGGAGAGAAAGTTTATGCACTAAAGGTTATACAGGAAGTTTTAGCATCATTGTACAGATTATCACTTAATATCTGATTTTTGTGATTATTTGGAATTTTAATAAATACTTTAATAAAATTTTCTTAATAAAACTTTCTGGTATGAGGATTTGTCCCATATTTCAAATGTTTCCCAGTTCCCAGAAATGGAAATTTCCGTTAGCAGCATTTCATAATTTTGATTACCTGGAGAAAGCAGTATAACAAGTAAGGGGAGTTAGGTTTTATTTCTGAATCACATATCTCTGGTCCCCAGGAAATGTTAGTTTAACTGTTTATTGTTACTGAAGGATTTTTTAGAAAGTTGAGGTGCAACATAGTCTGTATATGAATAACATATTTTGGAAAAAATTGAATGTAAGATCTCTTATTGTTTCTATATTCAAACCTCAAAGAATCAGACGAATAACCTCTTAATTTATAATAAACAGTCAAATCTCAAGAGAAGCATGTAGTTATTTAAAAAACACTGTTATTCTTTCTTCAGAGGTTAATGCTAATAAATATTTTGGGCTCTCTCTCAACTGCTGGTATCATGGTGTTGGAATGGTAATGGTAACTTGGCCAACTAGGGCTTGCCTGAACACAGTCCCATACAAGGAGGAGTTGTGAAATACAAAAGCCAAAAAAAGACACAGGAAGGCCAGGTTGTGAGGGAAGAGAAATTCACTCCCAGAAATGTTTGGATTGAAAGAAATGGTATCTAATAACTA